CTGCAATTTGAAGCTTGACTTTGTCTTTTTTTAGTTTTTTCTGCTTAAGAAATTCCTAGTCAGCTCATACCTTTTTATTGTCCAATTCTAGGTCTCTGAACAATCTAACAGTTTGCTTTGTCTGCTCAAGTTGTGCTTTAGCATCTTCTGTTCAGGTCTTTTACTTCCACATCTCTTCTGTTTGCTTCTCAATGCTCTAGTGTAATTTTTAAGGTCTCTTCTAATATCTATTTTAATTTTTTCTTTCTCCTGTCTTTGTAGTGACGTATGTTGTTGTTGTTGTTTACTGTAGAATGGGAAATGACACATAGCTGATCCTACAGCGGGTTTTCAGAAGCAGTTAATAGCACAGGAGGAGACTGCCCTTCCTTCTCCCACAGAGCAGCTGGTGGCCTCAAACTGTGTGCCTTCTGGATTACAGCACAGCTTCTTGCTACTAGGCCACCAGAGCTCCCTAGTGACCTATAGGCTGATGCAATTATATTAGGAATAATAATGACAAATAAAAGTGCATATGTTCTTTCCTGAAAGTAAAGTTTAATTTTATTAAAGTCCCTGTTGTTGTTGTTGTTAAGTGCTGCTGAGTTGCAGGCGACTCATTGCGACCCTATGAAGGAGAGTCCTTGACACTTGGGTGCCTTTCATCCTCTCTCCAGGTTCATAGGGTTTCCAGAGGCGAGCTATTATGGAAGTGGATGCCACTCCTCCTTCCACATTAAAGTCCCTAGGAATCTCAAAATTTTTGTATCGATATCCCTTTAGATTCTTTCACATTAAATTTATTAAGGCTTCCAAAGAGTTTTTATTTATGTGGATTATACTGTTGCTGTTGTTAGGTACTATTGAGTCAACTCCAACTCATGGTGACCCCATGAACAATAGACTGAAATCTTGCCTGATCCTGCACCACCTTAACTATCTCTACTGTGTTTACCAGATGTTTATAGTTGTTTCTCCTCATTTTGAATCATGCCACATTAGCAAATTACAGTCTTTCCCTGCTTGAATGCTTTGCTCCATCTGTACCATTAAGATAGATTCTACTAAGAAGATAAATGAAAAGATACATGGAGGCCTCCAAGAAACCAGGAAACAAGCTGAGAGAAGAGAGCATTTCCCTGGAGCTAACAGAGGGAGCCTTCCTCTAGAGCCAGTGCCTTCAATTTGGATCCCCAGCCTCCTTAATAGCAAGAAAACAAATTTTTGCTTGTTGAGAAAAAAAAGAAGAAGAAAGACTCTACTTTGAGGAGGCTGCTCTTCACTAGGTGTATTTTCAGTGTGTTCCCACTTGAGGGGCTTATTATCCAGCACTGTATTAGACAATGCTCCATTGCTATTGATGGAAGTTTTGAGATCCTATTATTTCAGAAGGGGATAAACAGTCATGCTTTTCTTTCCCTGACTTAATCTAGAAGCACCACTAAAACTTGCCCCCTATGGGTGGTTCTACTTTTATTTTAAATATTGGTGGCTCAGTTTTCAGTACTGCAGCAATACACATAAGAAATACAAAATATCTATTGTTGGGTTCATTTGAAAGCATCAATGATGAAGCCATTTTAATGTTAACATAAGTAACATGTTTTATGCACTGCTTTATAGTTTTGAAAGCCTCTGAATAACTGGATTGACAGAAATATCTTAGATTAACATAGCAATTTTTTAATTTAATCTGAAGGCATACATGATACAGCTCTTAAAAAAAGTATGTTGTAAAAAAAAGTATGTTCTATACTTAAGAATTATTGTTGAGCAATGATGTCAGTCTACAAACTAAGGTATGCCTTATTCAGGTCATGGTCTTTGCAATTACTTGCTATGCATCAGAGAATTGCTATGCATCAGAGAGCTGGACAATGAATAAGGATGGCAGAAGAAGACTCAATGACTTTGAGTTACGGTGCTATAGAATATTGAACATACTTAGGATAGCCAAGAGAACAGTCTTAGAGAGGGTGAAACCAGGCTGCTTATTGGAGGCAAGGATTTTGAAACTATGTCTCACATACTTTGGACACGTGGCTAGGAGGAATTAATTCTTGGAGAAGGACATCATGCTTGGAAAGGTAGAGGGACAGCACAGGAGAGGAGAGGAAGACTCCAGATAAGATGAACTGACACGGGTAATGAGGTCAGATATATTGGAGGCAAAGAGATTGGCTCAGGATAGGTCAAAGTTCAGAGCTATTGTACACAAGGGCGGCTATCAGTTGCAGGTGACTCGAGGGCATATAACAACAATAGCAACAGCAATATCGTTGAGGCAGAACCAACCCATCACTGGCTGACTCTCCAGCAGGTTTTCAGAGGCAGTAAACTGGCAAGGGAGGAGACTGTCCAACTTTCCTTTGCAAAGAAGCTGTACCTTTGCATCAGCAGTGCAATTTCTTACCATTAAACCACCAGAGCTCCCCTATACTTATGAGAGGAGAATGAAAATGCCAAGTAAAGTCTTAATATTACAGTTTTGATTTTCTGGGCTCACCGAGGAGACTTCAGGGATCCCCATGGGTATTTAGACTACTCATTGTAGTCAAAATAAAGTAGCAGACTGCTAAATCAACATAAAAAAAGAATAAGACTTACATAGGACAAAACCAAGCGATAAGGAGAATTTCACTGTTGTTATTTGTTTGCAAGATTTTTGATTAATTTTAGTGTTCTACTGATGTATGCCTCCAGATTTATTAAATAAACTCAAGGGGGTCAATATGGTTAATGAATACTCTTGCTGCTAAATAATTAGACTAAGCTTAATGAGATCAACCTCTTTTGGGATCAATACTAATTATGATAGTTATTTGATGCTTTATATCATTTAAGGTTCTTCAGCTTCCTTGGGATAATTCTTGGAGGAGTAAGGCCCAGTAGTGGCTTACATATTAAAAATAACATAAATAAGAAAATAATTTCTGACTCAGTCACTGAACTAAAGAAGATGTCCCATATCTGATGCTTTCTTTCTGCTTTTGAAGTAAGCTAAAATTCTTTTTTAGGATTAGAATCTACCAATTAATAGGACTTTTCTACCTTTATGCTGTGAATTTTTCTTCCTATTTTTTTACTCTTTCTTCCATCTCCTTTTCAGTTAGAGAGGTAGGAATGATAATCATTAGATACTACTTTGGGATACCCAATTCTTAAAGCTTATTTTCTAGGAAATTAAAATTTCAGAATAAGAACCTTATCATTCAGAGAGTAATTAAAACCAGGTGTTCATGGTTTTTTTTTTTTTAATTATGGGGTTCATGTGTAAGCAAATCTGTCTTAGAGTTGTCTTAACTAACATCTGTGCTAGCACTAATACAGAAAGCGAAGGGTGGGAAGGGTCATTAGTAGAGTTGAACCACAATCGCCAAACCTGCGTTTACTGCAAGCTAACAAGCTATCAAGAAGTTTTGGAAAAGATAATCTTTAGGTCTGCCAAACAGGAATTGTTTCTCAATTAATATCATGAGGAATGAAGATAAATTATACATGAGATACTCATTGGAAAGAACACATTTGCATCTAAATACCCCTAACTTCAGTTTTTGCTTTAGTGATATTAAGAGTACCACAGGCAGTTTTATAGTCATGAAAACAGACATGCTGTAAATGATTTCTTATTGTCCTCCTACAGTGCAGTCCTCAGCTCCCTGCATTTGGGATCTCAGGAGAGGTTTGCAACAATCTGCTCTACCTGTGGCTGCAGACTTTCGGCACGTTTTGAGAGAAGACTGATTCAGCAATCTGTCTGCTGTGGGGACCACATCTGCCCACACTTAGACATCTCCCTCCTCCCTATAATTGAGGCTGTGGTCTTAAATTTAAATTCTTTTTCTTTTCATGTCTTTGGAAGCTGCAATGTTATACTCAAACATTCAAAAGTAAAGGAAGTCAGAAATTCTCTGTTCATGTACTGTATTCTGATATTTGCTCTCAGAGCCAAATAGAGTTTCCTAAAAAATAATCAGGTTATAAGTTCTGGCAGTTTTATAGCTACAGAAAGCAGGGACTAAGAACAATATTGTGTATGTGTGTGTGTTCAAGTTGTAAATAAATCAAGCTCTTAGAAAATAGGAATTTTAATTAAAAATGTTATTATGACAATATTGTTATATTTTTTTTCAGCTGAGTCATTAATGTGAGTATAAGTTGGCAAACCATTTTATGATCTGAAATACTTTTGAGTCAAAATACATGGGTGTTTATGGTAGTAAAGAATATTTTGCTTTTATCACTTTTTAATCAATGAATCAAAAAATTATTATGCACCAACACTTTTCACTAAGATATATAAACGTAATGATTCTGAGATTTCAAATATGCTTTTTTCCCCTCAATTCATTTGACGGAGTTAATTCTGACTCATAGTGACCCTTCACTGAGTTTCCTAGGCTATAAACTGGAGGAGGAGAGCACTGACCATCTTCTTCCCTGAGAAATGCTGATGGAGACGAACCTCTGGAGACACACAGCCTTTGGGCTAGCAGCACCTTTCGCTATGAGCTACACTGCCAGAGCTCCATATAAATAAATAAGCTTAATCCTATAAAATGAAGTACATATATTTTTTTTATCAACTTTTTAAAATTTTTGTAACAGAGGGTAAAAGAAATGTCTAATTTTTTGTTGCCTTCCTGTGGTGAGAAGGAGGAGTCTGGAATATGTAGTGGGAGTTGGTCTCTCTAGGAGGTCTTGTTTAACCTTTAGGAAAAGGGAAGATTTAGAGCTTCCCTTTGGGGGGGGAAGTCTACTTCAGTAAAGATGACTCAGAAGTAAAGCGGAAGTCTCCAGGAGAATAGTAAAGCCATTAGGTAAGTTGTGAAGGTAAGCCCCATGAACTGCTCACACTGCATCCCTTTTTTGGAGTGCCTTGTAAATATTGAAATCTCATGGACTTTTAGCTTTGCGGAGGTCTGGTTATGAACACCAGATATCTGCTACACCATAGATGGTAGACTATATACAAGGATATTACAATGGACTACATTTTCATGGGTCCCATTTTTTCATACCTTTTCCCCCATGGATACACCCCCTGATGTGATGATGACATCAGCACGACTGATACCCTCATTCAAGGCATTGAGTAAGTCATCTGGGCTGGAAAAAAATAAAGACAAATAAATTAACACACAGAAAAGATTTTAGGTGTAATGCCAATTTAAAACTAAAGCACTTTATTCACTGAATATGCATTACCATGAGCACAGCACTATATTCTGTATAAAGTGGGAATCAAAAGATCCCTGCCCAGCAGGGACATAACTCTTACTGTGGAGAAAGAACCTCATAAAGGAAGAAGTAGTGGCTATTGATGCATTCACAGGGCTTTTTATCTCACAAGGCTGTACATAGAGGGAGACACTGGGGTATTGATAGTGTCCCTAGTGGCCTGGAAATATCTGAGTTCTAGTAGTGAAAGTCACATATACTAGGAAATCCTGGGCAAACTAGGGCAGCTATTCATTTATCATATTGGAGAGATCGTAGAGGGCTTTCTAGACAGGTAAAACTTAAAATAGGCCATGACAAAAATGGATGACTTTTCACAGGTAGAAAGGAATGGGAAAAGACCTTAAAAGCAAGAGGCTCTGTAGTAGGAAGGACTTGGAACAGCAATTAAACGCATGTTTGTTTCCATGTCAGTATGGACATACTGATCTAGCGTGAAGGAGCTGGGTGGCAATGACAAGGTTAGGCAAGTATGGGCATGATTTTGGAGAAACTTTAGGATCAAGGGTTTGGAATTTAGCTAAAAGAAAACGGGGGGAGGGAATGTGTGTGAGAGAGAGACATCTGGAAATAGGAAAATTAAGTAGGTGCTTATTGATAAATGAAAGAGTAGAAAAAGAGGGGACAAGAAAGGAAGAAATTCTGTTTTTAACAACTCTGAAGGCTCAAGTGCACCAGGCCATTTTATTACAAAGACCAAAGAAGGGCCTGAGAACTGAAGTGAAAATAAGACCCTTATATTCTGGACAGGTTATGGGATAAGACAGGCTCCAAAGACTTGAGAGTGGCTAACTGAAAAAAAAAACCAACCAACCAAACCGCAAACAAAGTATCAGAATCAGGTTTTTGGGAGGGACAAGATGGTAGGAGATAGCTAAAAGGGACTGTTTTGTTATACATTCATGGAAAACTACTGGGCATTTGAATTTTCCTTCAAATGATTAAACGCAGAAAAGGTGCCCTTTGAAGAGCATTTTTGCTGTTCACATCTTCATTTTCTGAGCAGGTATAGGAGGAAATACCTCTATAATACTTGATTTTTCTTTTCCCTTTCTTCCCAATGGGCATCTAATACAGGCATCAAAAAGGGTAATAATCCTGGTTTTTTATACCAGCTCCTGCTTTTGATCCATTTTGAGGTCCAGCTACACTCTTGTTTTTGGGTGTAATGAGATAATCCTGCATTAGCCTCAAACCCTAATCTTTAGCAAATTTTTAATAGCTGAAACCAAATGATCTCTAAATGTTAGACAGAGAATCTCCTATTACAGTAAGGTTTATTTATATCCCCTTATCTTAATGTATTACTTGGGAGAGGCCAAAGGAGAAACATTAGAGGCTCCAGATGACACGATTTGTAACTAGGGCATCATTTCCCTTTTTATTCAGGAGTGAAAGAGGTAAAAAAAGAGGACTTTCAGGTACCATCTTCACAGGTTCGACACAAGAGATAAGCTACAAATTGGAAGGCAGAGATTAAGAGTGGAGCTCTGAAGTCAGATTGCCTAAGTTTAAATCCTGGCTTTAGTACTTACTAGATATTTAAGTTTGAACAAATTGCATAACTTTTCTTGGCCTCAAGTTTTGTTTTGTTTTTTTTTTTTTTTTTAAATCTGTAATGCAGGGATAATAAGGTTGACATGATATAGAAAATAAAAAACAAACAAACCACAAACACACCAACAAACTCAAATGACCCTTGGGACAATACTTAGCAATTAAGTTGTAAAGAAAAGTTAATTGTTATTATCACTACTGCTATTGTATTGACACATGTTGACCAAACAAACAAATCTAATAGCCTGGCAAAGTGTGACTTCAGCATGCTCTGAGTTTTTAGTTTGAATACTTATTAACTAATACAAAACAAAAATCAAATAGTGGGCCTTAATATACATTCACAGAGCTGCTGCATGTGGAAAGTCCAAATAGTTCAAGAACAAGTCAGCCTCAGCTCTAGCCTGAATAATTTCATCTGTTGTTAGATTCTCTTACTGGACTGGGTACTGTCAGTACTTCGATAGTACTGAGCTCTCCAGGAGCACAGTGGGGTTGCTTTGGTTCTGGAGAAGGAGTTGCAAAAGCAGAAGTGTGAAAAATGGCTCGCCTAAGGTTCTGCTTACCAACATTGGGACTCTTTAAAGTCAACTGTCAGTTACTTGCTGAAGCTGCTAAAATGTTTACCTGGATATGCTATGAAGGTAGATGTATGTGCAAGACAAAATACAAATAAAAAAAAAAGCTCGAATCCCAAGTATGAACTTCGAGTTTAAAATGGTTGGGCAAACATGTAAAACAACTATACCCAATAATGGATATTTTGAAGGTGTTTCTAAGACAAAAGTAGTTTTAGCTGATTTCTCATACATTTTAAAATTTTGCTTTAGAGAGAAAACCAAAAAGAATTTGGTTGTGTTAAAATATTATACCATCTGAGTTTGATGGGTCGTTGGTAACTGCACATTCTGAGTTCCAACTTTTTCCTTGCTGGATCAAGATATCATTAAGCTCTGCTAAACAGCTGATCTACAGAGTAAATCGGAGAACATCACAAACACTATGTGAAAGGTGGTTCTAAGAAATCCAGAATGAATATTAACAAAATGGAATTTTCTGCTAGTACAAAGCTAATATTATCAATGTTACAATACATGATTTATAGCATATATTCAATCTACGATATTGACTCCTGGAATTGGGATTATCCTAAAGTGATTGGAAGCAAGGTAGCATGCTTGCATCTCATTATGGTGTTAATCTTTGTAGGCAGAGAAAGGGTTTATAATTTCACCAACAATGTCCTTTTCTTGCCATATTCTCTCCAACATTTATTACTTGTTGCCCTGTTAAACTTTGCCATTGTTACCGGAGTGAGATGATTCATAAACATTTCCTCCTTTTTTTTCCTTTTAAAGATCTTTTTACAAATTTTTAAATTTTTTTTTTTTTATTTTAGTGGAAGTTTAGAGACCCCTTTGGATTCCCATTCATCCATTGTTTCACACTTAACTCCCTGCTCACCCCTCCCCCCTCAGTTTGCTTTTCTCTTTGTATACATTATTTATCCTCTCTTAGTTTCCCCCCAACCCTGATGTCAGTCCTGCTTTTCAATAGTGGCACTATGCAGTATTTGTCTTTTGTGACTGAGATATTTCACTCAGCATAATGTCTTCCAGG